CGAGCGAGAAGACAGAGATCGAGTCGAGAGAGAAGACGCTTGGGTTTCGTGAGAGAGAGAGACACGTGTGCAATAAGCACCGCGGCTTCTGAGGCTTAATTAAGCACCGTGGCTTCTCTAATTACTTCTTTTTCTTTTTTTTTTAAATTCAAAAATCATTAAGCAGCCCATTAAGCACCTGCGTTAATGGTGCTCTTAGAATCCATGTTTGGGGTTTTTAAGTCAATAGCTTTACAAGGTTTTTAGTAGTATAGCAAGCACTGTGAACATATCTGTCTTCTTTTTTTTTTCTTCTGATCATTTGACTTTTCTGTAACACAGCTTTGTGAAAAATGTTGAATGGTAGATGTTGGGTTTGTTTAATCCATTCAGTAATGTGGATTCTGTTATAATGTGATGGCTTATAGGGCTTTGATTGTTGTGAGATCATTGAATGAAAAGTAAGGAATCTTTTATATTTCCTTTGTATACAGAGAGTATCACTACTTTAAACAACTTTTAAGTTGTTACAACTCAGTATCAATTGATTTGTCCTACAATGTAATTGACTATTAAATTTATATTATATACACCTTATATGTACAGATATATGTCAAGCTCCTCTCGTGCCATCCTTCAGGAACTGTTAATATAAACTAGCCTTGAAATGAGGCTGATGAAGTCGGTTTGGAGCAACACCTTCAGCCTCGTTGTATCATCTAAATCACTAGGCTGAGCTTCATGATGAATATGTAAAGATGTGTGATGCCAATAAGATGATCCACCTTTCAAAACCAGTGATTTAGATGAGGATACCAATTTAACCAAGTTATAAATGACCATTAGGTGGCTGGAAATTTACTTATTAACCACGCACATGCTTTAGGTGTTTTTCTTTTTTACTACAAGAAACATAAATAGTATGTGTACAGAAAGAAGTTGCCTAAAACTCGTTAGCTTTCCTTCGTAATTCGTTTAACTCGTTCTCGATCTCCGAGTCCTTGAATGGGTATGCCGTGCTTGCTGCCACCGTGCTTCTCCCTGCAGGAAGCTCTCCTTTCTGCTCATCATATCACATAAACAGAGGATAACTATCAATATGTTCAGGAGGGAGTCATGAGATTATGAAAACAAAGGAACAAATAAGATCATCTATCTGCGTATCAGAAACCTTTGAGCTTCCGGACAACTCTTTCTTCAAGTTTGCAAGATCATCATCCACTGATGAAGTTTCAAGCATTTGAAACTGCACGGCCAAACAAAAAGAAGAATTTTATGTCAAGATGGTTGTCTTAAAGAAAACTACTAGAACATACAGTATACCAGGTTGTGCCAAAAATTATGAAACAGCAAACTTAATCCTAATCAACGCAAGACCTTTGAAACCAATTAACAAGAGAAAGACAGAAATACTAAGACAAGAGATCAGTAACCAACCTTTCCCTCAAGTTCATCTGTTCCAATCTGAGTAAGTGCATCCGCTTCAGACTCCATAGCCATCACTGTCAAGCACTTAGTAAATTTTAGTTTCCACCAGAATAATATACATCAAAAGAAGAAGCTGATGCACTTCTATGATCAAGAAAAAGCCAAAGAAAATTAAGGATCCTATCCTCTGAGGGCGCATTACACACTCGATATTAGTGTTCCACTGTTTTGCATTAGGTAACTACAACACTAATTGCATCATCCACGCTTCTTGGAATTGGAAAGCACCATAACTCTGTAAGACTGTAACCCCATTGCCTAGGTATCAAGTGCTTTAGCTTACAGAGACAAAGTAACACATCTTTGGAAATAGCGAGCTCTTTACTCACTTCCAAAGACTAAATCGGTAATTTATTATTCTCTTCCTATCCACATGTCAACCTTGGATCTCAGAAGTGATGCATAGACAAGTTTTTAGAATCAAGAGATTGTTGTACCTTTCTCCTCCATTTTCTCGAAGGCTGATAGAGCACCGCTTGTATTCACTGTCCCTATCATCTCTTGCACTTTGGTTGCAGTCCTAGCATCAATCAGAGAAAGAAAAGAAATGTGACAACATATAAATCTAGTAAAGGCATTCTATACGGATAGACTTTCCATAAAAGATGTAAAGAAGGATAATAGGGATATAATACAAACTTAGCAGTGCGAGCACGTGCAAGGAGCGTATCTTTCTTTGCTTTCGCCTCTTGTATCTTGCTCTCCAATAGCTGTAAATAAAAGGGGTAAAAACAAACATTTACCAAACTCAATTTTCCAAGAACCAAACTTCGTCCTAAGGCATTCTAATGTAATGGTGGCATGAAGAAAATCATGTACACATGATTCTCTGTTTTGTTGAGCAATGCAATGATATTTCACTATAGCCCTAAAGCCCTAAAGATTCCCAAAGTTTAAACTGATTAAATGGTGAAAACTAACCCTCGTATTTGAAACAAGATTGTCGACAACACCCTTTTGCTGATCTAGTTGAGTTTTCAGAGCAGTAGCGTTGTCCTGTTAAGATAAAAGTGAAGAAATAAATAACTTCAAAATCAAAAGTGAATAAAATGTAGCACATCAAGGTTAATAGTCATCCTAAAATGTCGAAAAACAAAAAGGATCATTTTTGGCTTTATACATAGTGCTAATACTACGTAATGTTGAATTCTACTATATATCCTAATATGTACAAACATAAAATGGATTATTTTCTGCCAGCGTAGTGTTACATATGTCCAAATTTCATTTTCTTCTAACACTGAAACCACCTTAACAACACAGCAAAGAAGTATATCAAAAGAATACTGGTAATTATGAACACTGCCAAGATCTGTTGCATCTGAAAATGATTAACACAAGTTCAACATCTGTGACAACTATTTGACTATTTTGAGAGTCATGAGGAGAATAAGTGTATACTTCGATATCTAAATTTTTACTTTTTACTTTCACAACCTGCTTCTTTCTAATTTTTGCATAAAATCAGAATATTAGCCTCAAATTCCTCAAAGATTCAAAACGATAAGGTCACAGGCTTCTTTCACTTGTTAGAGTACGCATACTTGAAAAAGAAAACTGGAGAACAAGAGAATGAACCTACAGCAAAAGACTTTCTTCGTTTAAGGGCTTCACGTGCAAGATCCTCATCTCCTTTTGCAAGAGCAAGTTGTGCCCTTTTGTACCTATTTAAGCGTACAAGATGCAAGAATAATCAGCTAAGTAAAGAATTAAAGCAAGGGTCAAGGCCAAAACAAACATACCAATCATCAGAAGATTGCTTCGAAGCTTTATATTTGTTCTCCAACTGCTTTTGTGATGCCAAAACCTTTACATTGATAATACACAAGTTTAGCTAGTCTCCAAAAAATTATAAACTCTCAGAACAAAAAACAACATAAAAAAAAAGGAACCTGTGCAGTGGCTTGACGCATCTTGGTCAAATCACTATTCATTTCAATAACAGTTTGCTCCAGGATCTTCTCAGGGTCTTCAAAGGAGCTTATAAGCGCATTCGCATACGACTTTGCTTATCCAAAAGAAGAACAAACATGGAGTGATTAATGAACTCCATATGAACTAGAATCAGAGAAAGGTTATAAGGGGGGTACCTTGACGACTCTAGAAAATCTTTCAAAAAGATTCATAGTAGGACCATGAGCATTGCATTTCAATCTGTTTCCACAAGCTAATCTGAGCTCGTTCACTCTCAAAGCTCCACCTTTTATAGAAGAAACAAAACAAAACAACAATAAGGATATGTCCTAAATTCCACTTGAGTTCAAATCCGAGTATAGAGAAAAGTTAAGACAAAGGTAAAGATAGAACATGTCTGAACTCTGAAGCATGACAAACCCTATCTTTTTATAAAGACATGACTCTCGAGTTGAGAAAAGAAACCCTATAAATCAATACCTATGGCTTTAAACTGTTCTCCAAACTAGTTCACTACTTTTCCTTACGAGCAATCAAACAACGACCAAACTAATCAGATGAAGAGAAGGTGAAACCCGTGAGGGGGTTTAGAGAAAGGACGAACCGGAGTTTCCGAAGAAGGATGTCCGGAGGGGAAGTAGCCTGAGGGTAACAGGGCGATTAGAAGTGGAAGCTGTGGGGCGGAGAGGAGTGAATACTCCGGCGACCGGTGAAGCCTTCAGAGCCATTACAGTGGCAGGAAGAGAGGTCGCGAAACTACGAGAGGGGGTTTTGTCTCTTCTCCTTTGCTTCTTCTGATGTTTGTGGTGTCGGAGCAACCGGATGGTGTCGCGATTTTTTTTCTTTGTATTAAAGAAAATGGAAAAAATAAATAATCGAAATATTGACATTACTGGACTTCATTTCTCAATACTGAATGTAAATGGGCCGTCCCTTAAAAAAACAAAAAATTTAATATTGTATTATAAGATTTTAGTTATAGTTTTATTTGATTAAAAACGAATACTAATTAGTTGATATTTTATTAATTAAATAACAACATGATAAGTTATGATTTTTTTTTTTTTAAATTAGTTATACATAAATGACAACACTCACATAACAGAATACATTTAAAAATATATCTATACAAATGGTTTTCTTGATTTATATTTAATTATAATTTTTATATCTTAATTTTTTTTATTTCTGTAATAAAAAATATATTTTCAAGACAAAAAAAAAATAAGATATCTAAGATATATCTTATTTTCTAAGAAGTATAATATTATTAGTAGAACTTCATTTTTATTATATTATAAAAGTTACATGAAATTATAAAAAACATGTCAAATAAGTAAAATTATCTAAATCACGAAAAAAATATAAATTAGCAAATTCATTTAAATTTTATGATAGAAAATATATTTTTAAGATAACAATATAGTATGTAAGATTTATCTTTTTTTTTAAAAATAATAATATTATTAATAGAAATTTGTTTTTAGTATATAATAAATTATATATGAAATAATTAAAACAGAAAAATAGACTAAAAATTCCTAAGATCATAGAGAAGTTGACAAGTAAGCATTTCTTGATTTATATTTAATCATAATTTTTATTTCTTAATATTTGTAATTTTTATGATAAAAAAATATTTTCAAGATGAAAATATAATACATAATAATTATTTTATTTTTTAAAAATATAATATTATTAATATAATTTTTATTTTCTAATAAATTATATATGAATTATTAAAATATAAGACATATAAACAAAAATTATTTAAAATCTTGGAGAAATTGAGAACTAAGCATATTTACTTCTTAACTAATAGTATAGATAAATTATGGTGGTTACTCAATTTTCAATAATCACTCCTTTAAACTTTCATAATTATTAATTAACTATATGGATCCAATACTTCCTATAAATCAAAAAGAATGACTTAAAGCATTTTGTCCAAAATGAATAACATGTGATACTTGCAAGCAAATGAGTTCACTTTACGGTTCATTAAGCATCAAATTACGTCTCAGGAGGAGTTTACTCGGTGGGAGTAGACAATCTCTAATTAGCTTCTACTTTATGATGGTAGGAAAGCTTCTTACAATTATGTCAACATTTAACATTTACCAAAAAAAAAAAAAAATTATGTCAACATTCATCGAAGTGGCGTTCCTTTACTTTATTACCTAGCCTCACAAACAGACCACTCATGTGATTATATGAGCATTGTTTTGGTGATGGATGCTGAAAGAAGATGAAATAATGTAAAAGTCTTCTCAACACAAACACAACTCTATTTTATTGTTCTGTAATTTATAAAGATCATATACAAACAATGTATAGACATTTACACTATATGCGATAGAGAAATGATGGACAAATCAGAGAGTGTTCTTCAAGAACTGTACAACAAAATAGACAACTGCCAGAAACAATGCAACCTGATATACATCTCTCTCCAAGCTGTCATCTCTTTGAAAATACTGCATGATCATTAACAAACATTCTCTTAGTCTTACAAACAGATGAGAGGACTATGCTAGTTAAGAATCTGACCTTAGTTGGATCGGTCGGATCACGATATATCTCTGTATCCTCTTTCCGAGCAGTGAAAGTAGCCGTTATGTCTTTGGTGGCGTCAGCCAAGTCTTTAGCTGATTCAGAAGCAGCAAAGAGGCGACGAGACGTCCAGAAATAGGCTTGAGCAATAGGGGATGATGAGGATGCGTCCCAAGACTCTTCATGCTCAATCACTTGTCCACTAATCTGGTTAAGAGTGAATTCAGATTTGACTTTGATGATCAGATCTCCACTCACAGCAGCAAGAATGGATTTGGGTTTGCCTTTGACTGTCCATCTAATACGCAAGACGCTGGTTGATAACATCACCATCTCCTGTACCGTCTACACATAGAGACCATATATATACACAAGTCAAGAAGGGGAAAAAATAACAATAAACATTAAATGTAGAGATCATTTCTCTACCACAGTGGGACTCTCTAACCCAGTAGTTATCCACATTGGTCTTTTGTACTTCTCACGACCTGTAAAACTTCTAACCGAATCCTGCAATCACTATCACTCAAGATGTATTTACTTATTGCCAAGTAAGATACTGAATCATATAAATCTTAATAGATATGTAACGTATAATGTACCTTAAATTTAACAGAAACTGCATAGCAAGCAAAGGCGCGATTACTTCCCCTGAGTTCAAGAATGTCGCGAGCAAGTTGTCTAGCAGTGGATTCGACCTGTGGGCTACTTGTGCACTCAAACTCATTGCATAGTTCCCCAAAGTCAATCTTATCGACTAGCTTGTCTGCTTCTGATTTATCAATGGATACTTCAGTCCTGCTGGTACTATTCAGAACTGATAGAATAAAAGAAAGAAGAACGAAGAGATAGTTAAATGGTAAGATAGGGTTATATAGTACATTACAATCAATAGGATCACTCAACCACCTGAGAGTAAAACCATAACGAGTTCCTACTTCCTACTAAGCATTTCTTACGACCATTTCCTCTCATAATATTTTATTTTACTGGTGTATAAGCTTTCATTACGTGCTCACGCCTCAAATACTCGCGAGCTTTTACGATCTTACGGTTGCATTAAAGAAAAATAAGGTAAAAATATGGAATGTGAGATCACAGATCTCTGCTAGATAAACTAAGGCCTCAGACTGGGGAAATCACTCATCAACCTTATAAAGCTAACAAGAGTTGGAATCCTAATTCAAAGGCAAACAAGATCACATATACAAAAAAAAGAAGATCCAAGAACACTCCAGACATATATATATATATATATATATATAACATAGACAAAAGAAGAGGAATGTACCTGGGGGAAGACGCTGGATGATTTTAGAAGAAAGCAAAGAGGGGCGGAAGAGGCGCCGGAGAAGGGCGGCGGAGGGAGGAGAAGCAGGGACGAGGAAGGAGGAGGAGGAAGTAGCCATATTTCCATTATGATTCTTTGTTGAATGTGTGGCTAAGAGGTTAATGGATGTCCCACGCTCGAGTTTCTCTTTTTTTCTGTGGCTTTTAAAATTTAAGACCATGCTTTTATGGATAAGGTTTTCTTTTCTGAGAGACATCTATCTGATTTTGTGAGTAATATCATTCAAATACTCTCGTCTTGGAGCCTAAACATAATAGACCTCAAAAGAAGTTAAAGACATAAACAAACAAACAACAATTCATTAAAAAAAGCATCAGGCATCTGTCTTTTGTGTTCTCGAAATGCACTACTAAGATAATCAAAGTTTTATGCTTAATTAAAAGAGATAAGAAAAGGAAAAACAGATTGTCTTCAGTAGCTCACTCACTCACTCACTCTTCTTCCTCAGCCTCTTCAAGCCAATTCACAAACGGCTCCAGTCCCTTCACAAACGTTTGCCTACAACACACCCAACATTTTTACTAAAAGGTAAGAACTTTGAATCCTATTTGATAAAACAAAAAATAGTCTACCTGCCCTTAGGGTTGCTCCCTTTGCTATACCAATGGAGAATAGTGTCTTCAGCAAGCACATCAAGCTCATACAAAGACCTCACTACCTCTGGAAACACTTTCAT